ATGAAATTCCAAAAAAATGGATTTCAAGTTTCAACAAGTTTCTTAGCAACTCGCTCGCAAAATGATTCGCCATTTTTTTTTTTTCACGTCTTTGTGACCGACTTCATCCATGCCGCATTCCTTTGTTGCTGAAATGCTACTGAGTTCACCCAAATACAACGTACTAGCTATGTCATTATTGCTGTATCTAGACTCGACGCTCGCCCAAATACATAGCTCTAATGACTGCACGTTGTATTCGGGTGAACACAGTAGCGCAGGTCAATCGTGCTGCTGTGTCTGGACCAGAACGAGTCTGGAGTCTGTCCATAATACACAGCTGTATTCTTGCAGCCAGGTTTCCTGTGGTCTTCGCATAAGCATGGCATTATCCGTTGTCCATGGTCTTTACTAAGTTTACTCACATCATTTCGTCGTGGTGCGAAGTTGTTTCGTTGGCAGTCTTCTCCTTTGCTTCTTGTTGAGAAATAGTGTTCAAACTTCAATTGTGTTAGTAGTGAAAGAGTACTTCACGGGCGGTTTGGGAGTCTACTTCCACTCGGGCACATTTCTCTATCGTGTGCTACGACTATTCTTCTTATGGGACAGTTAGACCACATTGCTGACGTACCGCGGCATTGGAGTATGTGGTGACATGTCTTTAGGGCATTCTCACACTAGTATCACTTTCTTTCCTAGATGTATCTGACCGCATTTACGGCCGGCCCTGGATGCATCTGGCTGCAATCATGTCTAGATATTATGCCCTTATTGTGTGCATCAGACGCACTGCGGCACTGGAGTACATGGTGACATGTCTTTAGGGCATTCTCACACTAGTATTGCTTCCTTTCCTAGATGTATCTTCTTGCATTTACGGGCGGCCCTGGGTGCATCTGGCTGCAATCATGTCCAGATATCATGCCCTTATTGTGTGTGCATCACACGCACTGCGGCACTGGAGTATGTGGTGTGACATGTCTTTAGGGCATTCTCACACTAGTATTGCTTCCTTTCCTAGATGCATCTTCTCGCATTTACGGACGGCCCTGGATGCATCTGGCTGCAATCATGTCCAGATATCATGCCCTTATTGTGTGCATCACACGCACTGTGGCACTGGAGTATGTGGTGACATGTCTTTAGGGCATTCTCACACTAGTATTGCTTCCTTTCCTAGATGCATCTGGCTGCAATCATGTCCAGATCTCATGCCCTTATTGTGCATCACACACACTGCGGCACTGGAGTATGTGGTGACATGTCCTTAGAGCATTCTGACACTAGTATCGCTTCCTTTCCTAGATGTATCTTCCCGCATTTACGGACGACCCTGGATGCATCTGGCTGCAATCATGTCCAGATCTCAGTAGAAAAACTCCTAGTGTAGTGTGAGGATATGCCCTTATTGTGCATCACACATTGCTATCGACTCTCTTCGAAGAGTTAAAAATCACCTGCGTCGAGTCCGTGCTTTTGTGTCGTCTGTGGCGATTGCTAACCTATCGATTAACTCTGGTTAGTGCAACGTGTGGCGATTACCAGCCAGGGGGGGGGG